TAATTATTTCTAAATGATATTTACAATTGTATTAAATAAATACATCAAGTAAATTTGAACATATGGATATAATGACATGAAAACATTTGCTAAGTAACTACCCAATGGTAGCACTCTACATCTCTATGTCTACATTGGGAGATCATGGGGCAATCTTCTTTTAAAACGCCTCGGATGGTTATCAGAAATTGAAGAGGAAGCAAGGTTAGAAACGAGAGGGTTGGGATGATTCTGAAGTTTATTATGGAAGGATAGGTATCTAGATTGGGCCAGATCTGAAACAAAAGAAACATTAAGGTCATTATGAATGGTTTTATTTGTAACAAAGTAGGGAGCATTGAGGATTTTACGAAGGATTTTGGATTGTAAGGATTGGATACGAGAGGAATTGGATGGTTTAATGGAGCCCCATAGCTAAACTCCGTAAGTCCAAATAGGCCTTATTATAGTCACGTATATGAGTCTTTTGTAATTAATTGGAAGTTTATAGCGTTTGTCTAGTAAGTGCTGAAGTAATCGGAAACGTCGAGCGGTTTCGTGTCGTTTCAGTATAGTAAAAAAAATCTTTATATTTTGAAATACGTAAAGTTTAGATATGATTGCAAATTGAAAAAAAAAAAATCGTTTAGGCTTGAAAATGGCTCGACGAGCCGAAACGTCGTAATTGAGGTGTTGTAGTCATTAAAGCCTATACTTATATTTTACCACTGTACATAGTTTTAAGTGTCTTGGCATGGTTTCAAGTGCTTTGTATATAGCTTCTTTTGTTTATTTGTTTGTTTCGATGTCTAGGCGCAAAACATCCAGGTCATAAGCGCCCGATCAACTAAATAACAGCATTTAATACTATTTGGATGGTTGGTACAAAAAAAGAAAGAAGAAAAAAAATAAAAAAACATAATAAAAAAAAAATAAAATAAAAATAAAATAAATAAAGAAATGGATTGATAGAATAAAATAAATAAATAAGGATAATAATAGACATTTATAGGTAATAAGATGTATAAAAATGTATAAATAAATAAAATTTAAAAAATAGCAGTAGAATCAATAAATGAATTGAGATTAATAAACAAATGAATTTAAAATGAAATGAAAAAAAAATTAATAAAAAAAAAATAATAATAAGAGAAAATAGAATAAAAATATAGATAAAAAAAAATTAATAAATAAAAAAATAATAGTAAATCTGCAAAGGATCATTAATTATAAGCCTGTCATATGTGTTTTTTAAGTCTTTCACTATCCAGGAACTTAATGACTTTGGTAACGATTTCTTCTTGATTTCCTAAGGATGCTGATATATTCTGGGGTATTCCAAAATCTTTTGATCTTGCGGTGTAAAAAGGGCATTCTTCCAAAATATGTTTTATAGTAAGTGATTGGTTACACTTTTGACATCTGGGGATAGAATCTTTTGTTATGAGGTGGAGGTGAGTCAGTCTTGTATGTCCGATTCTCAGCCGCCTGAGGACGACCTCTTCTCTACGACTGCTGCGTCTGGAGCTGGTCCACGGTTGCACCTCTTTCTTTATTGTTTTTAATTTGCTAGGTGCGCTGTTGTCCCACCGTCTTTGCCATTCTTGGGATATGGTTTCTCTCAGAGGTCGTGCAAGTTCAGAAGGTGTCAAAAAAACTTTACCGCGGCCTGGAAGAGTAAGAGCTTCTTTTGCTGCTCTATCATCCATTTCATTTCCTTTAATTCCTATACGGCCAGGCGACCAGATAAAATGTGTCGTTGTTCCAACTCCATGAAGAATTTTTATAAGACTTAGAATGCAGTGTATCCCTGGATGGTCTGGATACATGTTATTCATAGCTTTCAGGGTGCTTAGGGAATCCGATACCACAACCACATTTGCAACTGGCTTCTTCATGACGTATCGGAGACTCATTGCTACGGCGTTAATCTCTGCTGTGTAAACACTACAAAGATGGTGTAATTTATATTTGTAGGTAGTATCAGGAGTGAAAGGATGAAGCAGTAGATGTATCTGTACAGATGTATACATATGTAGATGTAGAGATTTTTTTTATTTTGTACATAGTATGTTTAACTAAGATTTTCTTTACTTTTTTTTCTTTATTTTTTACTTTTTATGTTTGTTTTTATTTAGGCCAGATACGATACTTTAATTTTGTACTTTTTTATAATTCTAAATGGACTTCGTCCCAGAATAAAATTATTTTCTATTCTAAATAAATTTAAAAAAGACTGCGTCCTGAATATTTATCACCCATAATGTATTTTTTATTTTTGAAGTGTATACTTATATTTTACCACTGTACATAGTTTTAAGTGTCTTGGCATGGTTTCAAGTGTTTTGTATATAGATTTTTTTTATTTTGTACATAGTATGTTTAACTAAGATTTTCTTTACTTTTTTTTCTTTACTTTTTTTCTTTATTTTTTACTTTTTATGTTTGTTTTTTATTCAGGCCAGATACGATACTTCAATTATGTACTTTTTTATTATTCTAAATGGACTTCGTCCTAGAATAAAATTATTTTCTATTCTAAATAAATTTAAAAAAGACTGCTTCCTGAATATTTATCACCCATAACGTATTTTTTATTTATTTTTATTTTTTAAGTGTATACTTATATTTTACCACTGTACATAGTTTTAAGTGTCTTGGCATGGTTTCAAATGTTTTTTATATAGATTTTTTTTATTTTGTACATAATATGTTTAACTAAGATTTTCTTTACTTTTTTTTCTTTATTTTTTACTTTTTATGTTTGTTTTTTATTCAGGCCAGATACGATACTTTAATTATGTACTTTTTTATTATTCTAAATGGACTTCGTCCCAGAATAAAATTATTTTCTATTCTAAATAAATTTAAAAAAGACTGCGTCCTGAATATTTATCATCCATAATGTATTTTTTATTTATTTGTTTTTAAGTGTATACCTATATTTAACCACTGTACATAGTTTTAAGTGTCTTGGCATGGTTTCAAGTGTTTTGTATATAATTTTTTTTATTTTGTACATAGTATGTTTAACTAAGATTCTCTTTACTTTTTTTTCTTTATTTTTTACTTTTTATGTTTGTTTTTATTTAGGCCAGATACGATACTTTAATTAAGTACTTTTTTATTATTCTAAATGGACTTAGTCCCAGAATAAAATTATTTTCTATTCCAAATAAATTTAAAAAAGACTGCGTCCTGAATATTTATCACCCATAATGTATTTTTTATTATTTTTTTTTTTAAGTGTATACTTATATTTTACCACTGTACATAGTTTTAAGTGTCTTGGCATGGTTTCAAGTGTTTTGTATATAGATTTTTTTTATTTTGTACATAGTATGTTTAACTAAGATTTTCTTTACTTTTTTTTCTTTACTTTTTTTTTCTTTATTTTTTACTTTTTATGTTTGTTTTTTATTCAGGCCAGATACGATACTTTAATTATGTACTTTTTTATTATTCTAAATGGACTTCGTCCCAGAATAAAATTATTTTCTATTCTAAATAAATTTAAAAAAGACTGCGTCCTGAATATTTATCACCCATAATGTATTTTTTATTTATTTTTTTTTAAGTGTATACTTATATTTTACCACTGTACATAGTTTTAAGTGTCTTGGCATGGTTTCAAGTGTTTTGTATATAGATTTTTTTTTATTTTGTACATAGTATGTTTAACTAAGATTTTCTTTACTTTTTTTTCTTTACTTTTTTTTTCTTTATTTTTTACTTTTTATGTTTGTTTTTTATTCAGGCCAGATACGATACTTCAATTATGTACTTTTTTATTATTCTAAATGGACTTCGTCCCAGAATAAAATTATTTTCTATTCTAAATAAATTTAAAAAAGACTGCGTCCTGAATATTTATCACCCATAATGTATTTTTTATTTTTATTTTTTAAGTGTATACTTATATTTTACCACTGTACATAGTTTTAAGTGTCTTGGCATGGTTTCAAGTGTTTTGTATATAGATTTTTTTTATTTTTTACATAGTATGTTTAACTAAGATTTTCTTTACTTTTTTTTCTTTATTTTTTACTTTTTATGTTTGTTTTTTATTCAGGCCAGATACGATACTTTAATTATGTACTTTTTTATTATTCTAAATGGACTTAGTCCCAGAATAAAATTATTTTCTATTCCAAATAAATTTAAAAAAGACTGCGTCCTGAATATTTATCACCCATAATGTATTTTTTATTATTTTTTTTTTTAAGTGTATACTTATATTTTACCACTGTACATAGTTTTAAGTGTCTTGGCATGGTTTCAAGTGTTTTGTATATAGATTTTTTTTATTTTGTACATAGTATGTTTAACTAAGATTTTCTTTACTTTTTTTTCTTTACTTTTTTTTTCTTTATTTTTTACTTTTTATGTTTGTTTTTTATTCAGGCCAGATACGATACTTTAATTATGTACTTTTTTATTATTCTAAATGGACTTCGTCCCAGAATAAAATTATTTTCTATTCTAAATAAATTTAAAAAAGACTGCGTCCTGAATATTTATCACCCATAATGTATTTTTTATTTATTTTTTTTTAAGTGTATACTTATATTTTACCACTGTACATAGTTTTAAGTGTCTTGGCATGGTTTAAAGTGTTTTGTATATAGATTTTTTTTTATTTTGTACATAGTATGTTTAACTAAGATTTTCTTTACTTTTTTTTCTTAATTTTTTACTTTTTATGTTTGTTTTTATTTAGGCCATATATGATACTTTAATTTTGTACTTTTTTGTATTGTAAAATTATTTTCTATTCTATTCTATTCTGAATAAACTTAAATAGTTATAAATTTCGATCGGACCATATACCTCCCCCCCCCCCCCTACCGAGCACCTTCAATTCCTAAGGGTTACGGCACTTCCACCTACCTACGGAGGAGATATAGGTAAGGGAAAAAAAAAATAGCTGAAAGGAGGGGACGGGCAGATGGCGGGAGTGGGGATGGCAGGTGCTATCCCCGGGCAGCCGGCACTCACGCATGGAGCTCTTCTGCTGCGAGATGGTCAACTCAGCACCCACCGCAATCTACGACAGGGCCATCTACGGCGACCCGAGGGTCCTCGCCAATCTCCTCTTCCTCGAGCCCAAGTACACCCCCAAGAGATGCTTCGGGACTGTACAGAAACTCGTCGAGCCATACATGAGGAAGATCATCACCACTTGGATGTTGGAGGTAAACATGACACTTATATTACCATATAGCGATTTCATATAAAATCACCTATTTTCAATAATTTAAATATTATTTACATTATTCAAGTCCATTTTCCATCCATTCATGTTTACCATTGACGTCCGGCGAGATGAGGAGCACGTGACAGGAGTTGTCAGAGATGCTAACTTGTTGAGCTAACCCCTCTCTCTTCGTTCTACCCCTAGCCGATTATCAATGAATTTCTTTATCGAATTATTTTCAATCAAATAACAAATTTAAAAAAAATAAAATGTTGCTATTTACATTTTTTTTAAGTATCTAAGAAACATATCCTTCCTGTTTATCGATATGAACAGTTTGTGATAAAAGTTTAACATTTATTTATTTAAGCTCTTAAGAACAGTTCTATCAAATGAGAAATAAACATTAATTTTTTCCATTTTCAGTTAGATATATTATAGTTATAATTTAATTTTAAATGAATTAGTAGAATAAAAGTAATCTTCTTGGTCGATTTTTTTGGTTAAATCAACAGAACATTTAAATAAAAGCTTTTTAAAGATAAAAGTTTTGTTAAACCTTTACAGAAAAATTTAGTTTCAATTTTTTTTGTTCTTATTTCTATGGATTATATTGCTATTATTTACGTTATTTATATATTTTTTCTGTAAATATTGTGATCTCTATTATAATTTGATTATTTGATTCCTAATTTAATATTTCTCCATATAAAAGGAAAATAGAAACCTATTCATTGATACAATGTTATAATATTTTCTTTATTAATTTTTCTTCAATAATAATTAATTAAATAATTGGTAAATGGCTGACTGTCGTGGATAATGAAGAGAAGAATAGTTGGGGTGATCAGTCAAAAAAGAAGGCAAAAATAAATGATAATATTTATTTTTACATATGCCGACGTTTCGACCTGAAGTTCAGGTGCTTCATCAGGGCTAAGAAAATAACCAGATAACGAGGCATGAGAAACATAAGTAGTGATGGTAAAAAAAAAAATAATAAAGTAAAATGAAGTTGTTAGAATAATGACAATAGTAAGAACTAAGAGATAAATAATAATAACCGTTACAAAGTGTGGAATGATGAAGTAAGCATAATAAATATTATCATTTTTTATATTTTTTACTGATCACCCCAACTATTCTTCTTTTAATTAATAAAATAATTTTATTCATATAATTTATATTAAATTTGAATATATATTTTTATTTTCTACGGTCATAAATACGTAGATTCGCGTTTACTACGATTTATTAGTTCATTTTTATTCTATAATCTGTGCAAATCCGTGTACTATTCTACAAATATAATAATTGTTGACTAGATTTTAATTTATTATATATATGCATGTATTTGATTAATTTTGACTTAATAACTATATTGAGATTTACAATATTATTTGCTATTGACAATATTACAATATTATTTGACTCTAAAAATGACTTAACTTTAATAATTTATAATTACAAGGTACACGTCTAAATTATAATTATATATAAAAAAAATGTTAAAATATAAACAGTTAGTACGGGGAGTGTCGCCCCAAAACTACAACCAGGAATTATTAATAATAAAATATATGACGGTAAAGAAATAGGTTAAATGCTTAATGAAAAAAATTATCTTATTCACATAATTTTAAAATATTAAATTTGAATGTATTTTCATTTTCTACTGCATACATAAATTCGCGTTGATTAAGATTTATTGTATGATGTGATTATTGAGATTTATAATATTTTATTACAGTTTTTTTGTTTATTTTTAATAACAAATACTTCTAAATGTAACTTTTTATTTCAGTAAAAATATACCCAAGGAGCTATTTTCTTGAAACAATAATTATCGAATAAATGAATAAAATTAGTATTTTAGGAATTGTACATATACAATTTATATAATTCGTATATATGAGAATCCGCAAATGATCTGTCCCCGTTTGGAGAGATCTGTCAAATGGTATTTGGTAACCAGCAGTTCACGTTTCTAACCCCTAGGACTGGAGCGAGGGTTTAAGGGTGGGGATTGAGGGATACTATACTATAGTGTAGTCCATAGTACTATAGTACTGTGCCCTCCCCTCTGCCCGTGTTTACAACCTCTTGCACCTGCTCTCAGTCAAGCCTTAGCTGACTTAGTAGGTTGCTCCAACTTCAATAAAGTTATATTACCCATAGTTCAACTATCTAGATTACGCTCTCAAGGGGAGTTCACAGCCAGTGAATTAAAAAAAAAAAAGTATATATATATGTTAAAAGTAATAAAATTAAAATTAAATGAGTAAGATTGTTTTAATCATTTATTTGATAATTATTATTTAAAGAAACAAGCTCTGAGGGTATATTTTTACTGGAATAAAAAGCACATTTATTCCACTTAATGCTATTTTTCATTAAAAAAAAAAAAAAAAAATGGCATGAAGGAATTTGTGGAGAATCTACCCATTGGTAGTACTCTAATGAAGTATCTAAATTAGGAGATCGCAAGGCCATCTTCTATTCAGACGCCTCAGGAGTCGGAAAGGGGGGGGGGGAGTTATGAGGATCTGGAAGAGGAAACAAGGTTAGAAACGAGAGGATTTGGATGGATCTGAAGTTTTATTTGCTTACTTTGTTAATAAACTCATCCATAACGACCTTAATGTTCCATATATTTTCTATTTGGCACTATCCAGATTTATATTTATTTATATTCCACCCCTAATGGGTTATACGGGCGTTTGTAGTTGTAGTGTGTTATGCATGACTGCATAACAACACACGCAAGTGAAACAGTTTACAAGTGTTTTCGGTGACTTCTGTGATCTTGGGTGACTTCTGATCAAAGGTGACCGCCTTCCGGCGGTATTCTTGGTGGCTGGCGGTCCTGTTCTCCGTACTCCAATGTTGAAGTGGGCTGGACCCACTACCTCCTTCCAGCCATAAATAATTTCCTTGAACCGAGGGAAGTTCATCCTCTGTTAGGATGTAAATTCTCCCGGTTCTCATCATTGTTGCCCTTATTCCTTTGAATGCAGTGCAGGTCGCGACCACGTGCTCGACAGTCAGAATCCAGATACCGACCCTTCCATAATAAACTTCAGAACCATCCTAATCCTCTTGTTTCTAACCTTGCTTCCTCTTCAAGATTCTGATAGCTCCCCGGCGCATCTAAAAAGAAGATGGCCTAGAGTGTTACCAATGAATAGATTCTCTACAAGTCTTTTTTTGCCATTGTATTTCTCTATATCATATTTACTGAATTTATATTTATTTTTATACAGTTGTAAATTTCATGAATAAGTGAATAAAGTCAGGAATGGAAAAAAAAAAAAAAAAACCGGCATGGTTTAAATGATTAAAAATTTTCATTTTTTACTGATAATAACAATTTTTCACATTTTTAATACGTGTGAAAGTTTTTTGGATCACACAAATTTTTTGAACACCCTTTGACAGGGCAGATACACATACTAGGCTGTTCTGGTGTTTTTACCATTGAGGACTGCTCCTAAGATTTTTCTCTCAGTTCCTTTTGCAGCAGTTCTCATCTTCGTTTTATTTACTATTTCTTATTTTAGATGCATATTTCCAAATTTATAAATGCCAGAATAATTATAGGTTTGGCATTTTCATATACCCTTTAGTCTAGTAACTCTTATTTTGTGATTAAGTGATTAATTTTATTAATAATAATAATTTACATGGTTTAATATACAAATACATTATTCATATCTTACTAGTAATATTTGATCATATTCATTAAATTTGTATGTATTGTTTCCTTTTTCTTTCGGTATACGTTCAAATAAATTTATATTACGCAAAATATTTATATTTTAAACATGGCAATAATTTTAAAAAAGAGTTATACAAGTATGAATGAAAAAATACATTATTGATGATCATGGATTTTAATATTGATTTATAAAAAAAAATAATTTCGCATTGTTCTCAGCTTTAATCAGTACTGTCCACCTAACGGTGAACGAATCCCTATTTTACAAATTATACAACCGTTCATTTAATTGTACTATTCATTGTTCAAATTGTATGACTATAATTTACATGTATTCTGTGGCACAGATTGTTCTTTTTTTCTTTTTGGTTATCAATATAAAATAAACAAAACGAAACCACAGTTTGGACAACTTTTTTTTTTATTAATATATTTATTGAAATTTACAACTGTATTAGAGGTAAATTTTTAATTAATTAAAAAATCGATATTATACATCGCGCCTTATTGTCAATTTATATTATTATAATTATTTCTGGTGATTTTTTGTACGTCTAAAATAAAATATAAAACAGTCACTAAAAATATTGTTTATAATATATATATATATATATATATATTTGTGTGTAAAGTTCTAATTAGGACAAGATAGGACCGAACATTGATTAATGCGTATTGTGGTATTCAGTTTAAATTACATATTTTTTACATTATTATTATTTTTCAAGTCAGCTTTCGAGTTCTCTATGCATCGCCTTGGGTTTATTTACGCCGATCACAGGCCAATCTACGGTGAGGGGGGGGGGCTTTCGGGCTGAAGCCTCCCCCTCCCAAAATGGTGAAATGCGACCATATTTTATGTAAAAAAAATTATCTCTTAAAGTACTATTATTCGTTTAATTACATTTATTAGGAATTTATGAATCACTTAAATACCCTTTAATATAGGTAGTGAAGGCCCCCCCTAATTAAATCCTGGATCCGCAAGTGACGTCGATGAATTCATAGGCGTATGAAAAGAAGATTATTAAGATCCAATAATAAGCGGTTCTCCTGCGATGTGTTGAGATCTCAATGGAACGCAGCTAAACCGTCGGGTTTTAAGAATTATGTTTCCAAGAAGAATTCGGTCCTAGCGGAATGCTGATAATATTATTTACGATATCTCGTTTTTTTTTTGTTTTTAATAACAAAACAAATAAATCGATATTCTACTTTCCATAACTTTGATTTTAACATTGATTCATCGATAATGTTTATATTTATTTTTGTTATTGTTTATCACATGTTATTAGTCATTTTGCTCGTAGGTGGAAATATTTTGGTAAATAAATAGGTTACTTCATTCTTATTTATTGCATATATATTATTTTTCTGTATAATTTATTTTTTAGTTATTGTACATAGAGTGTGAATGTGATCTCTGAACACTATTATAAATATCCTTTTGAGACAGATTGTAATATTTTTCAATAAACACGTAAAAAAAAAAAAAAAAAAATGTATTCTAAACTTTTTATTAAATATATTCTTAAATGCGTTGTTATATTATCGGTCCTCGTGGAGAGGGATGGGAGGGGGATAAAAGGGCCATTGTCCTTTTTGCTCAGTAAAATTAGTGATTGACCCCAACATTTAAAAAATAAAGATGAAATTTGTCAGAAATTGTTCATTACCATATCCCATAATAACTGGTACCAGAACTGGGGGGAGAACAGAAAACTGACATTTTTTAGTTTTTTGAGAATATCTCATAAAGTAAGAGATTTTTCGCAAAGATTGTTTAGTACGATATTAAAGTACATTAAAATCTATACAAAAATGATCATATACATTTTTTTGATGAAATCGACGGTTACGGAGATATTTATGAGATTATATCTATTGCATTTTCACTTTAAGTAAAAATTGCTTCAACCACGAAATTGACGTTGTTTATAGTTGACACTACCTTTTTTGAAGTTTTTTTTTAACATTTTCGATCGTTCAAATTTATAATTCAAAGTTTCTTTCTTTTAATGATTCCATGAAAGTCATTGATAACCAGGAAACTTGAATTTTGTAATTTTTAAGCCAACCACGTTTTATGCTGAATAAAATGTAACAACTGAAAAGATGTTTAATTTAGGTTACAACCAATTACTTCATAGTAAACTAAGTTAAATTTACCTTAAATGCAAGTAAGTCTTGTCATATTTAAAACAATTTAAAGGGGACTTTTAAACAGTTAAACTACGGTTAGTTCGGGTTTTCATAAAATCAAGGATAATTCGCGATTTACCTTGTAACCCCCCAACTAGACTGAAGATACCACACTGTCAGAAAAACTACCTTCTTTGATGGACTTTAAGGCTATATTAACTAAGCTTTGGTTTGTTACAGAGAAAGTTCAGATTCATCCCTAATTGAGTAAAAAGGTGTAAAAATATTTGGGTAGATTCCTAATTTTTCTGTACTAATAATATTTTTACTCAATTAGAGAAAATGTAAACTGAATTTAATTATGTATACTTAAAGCTCGTCGAATAAGAAAGTTTTTAAGTCCTGTTGGGGGGTCATAAAAAAAATCGCTTAGAATACTTGATTTTATGAAAACTCGAACTTACCATACCACTGCGTTAAAGTGCATTATTAAAATTACAAAATTTAAGTTTCCTGGTTCTCTGTATGTAATCAGACCATGATTTATTTTCAATTTTTTTAAGTGTTAATGTCTTCTATCACAGTTTCTTAATAATATGAAATTAATTTCAATCTAAACTTCATATGATTATCACGAAATTCCCTATTCATTGTTATCGAATATAATTCTGTTGTTTATGACTTTTAAGAATTATTAAACGATTTGATGATTGATTAATAATTTGAACTATCGAAAATGTTAAAAATATTAAATAAAACTTCAAAAATTTATCGTCTGCTATTAACAACAAAAATTTCGTGGTTGGAGCAATTTTCGCTTCAAGTGGAATTGCAATAAATACAATCTCATGAATATCTCCGTAACCATTGCTTTCATTAAAAAAATATATATGATCATTTTTATAGAGATTTTAAGTTACTTTAATATTGTACTATACAATCTTTGCGAAAAACCTCATTGTTTTTTAAATATTCTCAAAAAACTAAAAAAATGTCAGTTTTCTGTTTTCTACCTCATCACTCCATTAAAACCCGACTCGGGATTCTTTAAGACTTTTTACCAGTTATTGTGAAGATGAGGTAATGAACAATTTCTGACAAGTTTCATCTTTATTTTTTTTTAATGTTGAGGTAAGGCTGTTTTTTCCCCTAATTTACTGCACCATTTTCTGGGGTGGCGGAATATCGGGAGCGGCAAATTTCAAACAACATTATATTTTAAAGTCAAATAAAAAATAATTGTATCTGCTTTTTTAACCTTAGTTCAGGCTTTCGAGCTGGCCCTCCCCCCCCCCCACCCTCAAAATGGTCAAATATAAACATGTTTATGGAAAAAAATTATCTCTTAAAGTAATATTGTTCGTGTAATTACATTTAATAGGACTTACAGAATTACTTAAACACCATTTCATATAGGTAATTAGTTAGTTTCTTTCCTTTTCTCCCGAAGTAGTAATCTTAAATCTTTCGGGCTGAAGTCTCCAAAATTAAATCCTGGATCCGCTTGTGTAGGGCAGGGCTGTCAGAGAACAAGGGTCCATAATATGTAATAAAACCTCTCTATAGCGGACCATTTTATAAATCCATAAAATTTTAAATAATTTAGTAGTATTGAAGTTTTATTGGACGCTCTCTATAACAGACACGGGCGGACTTTTAAGTTTCTCTATAGCGGAGTAAAGGAAAACGCTAAAGCTCATAATCTGTGAACAACATTTATACTTATATTAGCATAGTTCAATTATTTGCAAGCTGAGGATTCGGTTTGGTGGTAAGAATTATAGATTTTATCTTTCGCTGTCAGTTCTTCTATAGAATCGATTTATAAAATATCGATCCGCTTCAATTTATGTTGAGTACTCTTAAAAAAAACTTAGTATTCGCGAATTAATCGCTCAATTAAAAATTATAAAAAGATAGGTGTTTTAAACACCTCAGACAAATTAAAGAAAAAACAATGTCTTAAACCTCAGAATTTACCATAGAGATCAAGTAACATTCTTTTGTGGGAGTCTCACAAGAAAACAAATGCTCGATCACTTCACTTTTAAACATCCGTCCTAGTTTGGGCAATGGGTAAACGCGGAAAAGTAGGAAATTAATTTTAGACAAAGTAACCACGCCCCTTCAATAATAATAGTGAATTTATTTATTCTTATACATTTGTTAGTACAATTATGTAAATTATTTTACGCTTCTACAGGGCCACAAACAACTAGTGGATCCAGGATTAAATTTTTTTGGAGGGAGGGGCTTCAGCCCGAAATTTTTTTT